AAAAAGCTTTCACATATTGTAAATCACTTGAGAGAAGTAAAGCTCAAAATTGATTGCATCCTGTCAAACACTGTCAATGGCTTAAACAGCTTTTAGTGACTACTGCTTAAACTAATTTTGTAATAGTGGTTTTGCTCCAGTGCTTAAATTGATTTCATGCCTTTTCCAAGGAATTTCACCTGGAATTTAAACTTTACTATGTAACAGTGTGAGGGTGACCATTCACCTGTTGAGGCATGTAAACCTCATAAAGAAACTATAAACGACTAGTGAATTAAGTGATAAGTGATGTAAAGTTTTACTTTGGGATGTGGAGCAAGGAGAAAATGAAAAGGAAGAACTGTTGATTAAATCTGAATAGGAAGTGGAAAATATTGCCAAAAGAACTAACTAAAAATGCTAGTTATAATAAATTAAATTGGTTAGGAATAGGATAAGGGCCATGGTGAGGTTTAAACACGTGGATATCTTGTTTGAATATATTACACTGTTCACAACTAAGTCAGTCATCTACTTCATCCCTATTGGTCCTGGGTATGACAAACTACATCCAGCAGCAAGACCACTAATTGGGAGATTGTTGGTTTTGAGGAATATGAATTGCTGCTGTTCCCAAGTCCACCCATACTCGGGGTAGTACAACCTGTTAGGGTCCCAGCTTTGGGCAAATAATGAACCCCCAACAAAAACAAAACATGATGAAAGTATAAAAATGCATTTTATAATAAAATACCAAGAATAAAAATTAAAAGTAAAATTACCTACAATGCATATTAATAGTAAAAAGACCAACAATACATATTTTGTAGTTCAAAAGCATAGAATTGCATTCAAAATAGATTTAGTTGAAGGCATAAAATTATGTTCAAAATAGATTTCGGCATTAAATAACCCATAGAGATTGATATGCCACTAAACAAAATCAACAAGCCAACTTCACCTCTACTTTTGCTTAAATGGGTGGACATGGTGAATAGAACTTGGATGGCTTGTAAATTTTAAGACCTCCAAAACAAAACTGCTATCATTTAATCACCATAGAGAACCTTTTCTGACTTTCATCAGCATGGCTGATGCTAATCTTCAGAACAACTACTCTTTGAGCCTTCTTAGGCTCCTGTTTTCAACTGACATGAAGTAGAATGATTATATTGAATCAGTTGGTAGGAAATTTTTCTCATCAGAATTCACCTTGCACATTTATAAATCTACCATTCATCTGTGCATTGAACATTGCTGCCATATCTGGTCTGGTGCTCCCGTTATATATCTTGAGATTATTGACAAAATCCAAAGAAGGGTCTGTAATGTTATCAGTCCTAACCTGGCATCTTGACTTTGCAATCAAGGTACCAAAGAGGAAAGCCACATCATGAAAGTAGCGTGTAAAATATAGTCTAAAAAAACAAAAAAAAACAAAAAAAAACTCATTTTCAGCTGTTTGAAGCAAAATACTATTTTAACACACTGTAAAACAATAATTCAATGAATAAAAGCATATACAAATTACATATTTAGAAAGATTATTGTATTTTCTTTACAGCCACATGAATATTTTTAAGATTGGACCAGAAATATTCTAGAAATTGTGGTTTGAACTGGAAATGCTATCATTACACAAGAAAATAAATGGCTTCCTTAGAAAGCAAAAATACTAAATTAAAAACTGAAAAACCAAATTAAAAACCAGTATCAAGGAAAAAACAAAAAAAAAAAAAAAAAAACAAAAAAAAAAAAAAAAAAAAAACTGAAACATAAATTGCCAAATCTACCAACTCTACTTAGTGGCATTATAGTCTTGCTTGAGGTGAAATGATAAAAATAAGAGAAGAAAAAAAAAAAAAACATCCATCATGTCATTATAAGTTACCAAGGGAGGTAAAAGATGTTTACTTAAATAATATTCACACAAAAATCCATACTTCCTTACAGGAAATCTTAACTTGAAAATTTAAAAAACAAAATAGACACCTGCTTCTGGAACAATTAATTCAGAGTTAGTGAAATTTATGAGTAATTTTGTTTAATACATCATCCACAAAAACATATATAAATAGGTGAAAAGAGTAAGTTTGGGCAATTTTTTCATAATTTCAAGGCTGGTTGAAGGTAGTTTTTCAGAGAGTGCAGAAAGAAGTTACATCAGATTGTAACCCCTACATGTAATGACATGATCAATTCCTAAATAAGCATGGTAGGTGTGTACTGCAGGGAAACTTGAAACAATGTCATGTCTTTTCATGAAATGTGCAATTATGGATCTACACAACTTTTTGTTTTTACTATTAAATAATTTTTGTCTTTTTATCATTGCTCTTACTTTTTCAGTGAATTTACAACCCCAAATGTAAATACTGTAAATAAAACTTGTTTGAAATTAAATGTTAATTGCAGCAATTTTGTTATGTTAAAAAGAAAATCCCCAAAATGTGTGTGTGTGAGAGAGAAAGAGAGATCATTGATAAACTGGAAATCTCACTAGGGAGCATTTTGTTTGATAAATGAGAACAGATCATGGAGCAATTTGGGCTCAATATCTAGATCAAACCCATCAGCAGGAAGAACATTTCCATTTCCTGTGACCCAAGCAAGGGTCACCAAGCAAAATATTACAACTGGTGCCGATGACCAGAAAGACAATCTTCTGGCAATTATGTCCTAATGGCAGTAATGGAAGGATTACAACTGATCCTATTTACACCATCAGGACCTTCACTTGAGTCTATTATTAGTATTATATTAAAAACATACACAAAGCTTACACCAGTTAGATATTAGATACTGAAAAACTGACAGTTAACAAGGATTTATATTAGTAAAATAATTAGAATATTTACTAGGTGATGCTGACATTCCACACTACTACAAACAAAAGGCAAGGAAGGAAAATTCCATCATTATTAGCAAGAGTATTAACAGCAACTGGACTTGGGAAATTTATTTTCCTGGAAAATTGTTTTAAGAGAAAGAGTTTATGAATTCCAACCAACAGCAAGTCTAAATGAATCAATGAATGCTGAATGTTTCCTTATAAGGAAACAGCTAATATTACCATTATAGAAACAAGCAAAATAAATCAAAGTAAATAACTTAAGGGAGGTAATCATGAATAACAAACCTGAAACCATACTGTTAAATACAATCTGTCACCTTTCATTCTCCTTTATACTTCTCTGGAGCTACCACAACCTATTTTTAGAGAAGGAAAAGTCTGTGGAGTGGGGGGCACAAATGTATGCCCTGTAACTAGTCGAATTTTCTGGCCAAGGGTGATAGATGAAGCTATTACAGCCTCTTTTTCCCAAGGCTTAGGTTGGTAGAAGATCACAACTTTCTCAGGCAAGCTGTAAAAACGTAATCAAATTTCCCCACAGTACCAGCATGCTGGTCGTTTTCAAGAGATAATGACAAAGTTGGTGGCCATCAAAATCTAAACAGTTGGGAATAGAGGTAAAGGCGTTCAAATCAATCATTTAATTGAATCCACAGTGATTATATATATATATATATATATATATATATATATATATATATATATATATATATATAGTCAGGACATTACAACCACAACTAAAAAAGTCAGATATTCCACATGAAATCTTTGTTCGGAATTTTTTTTCATCAGTACTAGATAATTTTTAGTAATAGAGAATAGTATGTCCAACATTTGAAAAGTCATGTCTTTAATGGCTTGTAAGACCTTCAACCTCACACTCAGTGATTTTATCACATGGTCTTTTATGGACTGGAAACTTGTTTTTCTTTCAACCATATAAACAAGCAATTTTTTTTCTCTATGGCCTTCAGCATTCTTTACCGGGTCTGTTGCACAAATTCTGTGACATTGACACATGGAAGTGGAGTATTTCAGGTGTTATGAGCAAAGTCTAGCTTATCATTTCCTTGGTTGATTTTCACATATTTTTTTCTTTTTTAATTTTCCCTTCTCATTTTTTTGCATTTTATATTTTTCTTCTACTAAATTCTCTTTTTCAAGGGTTTGGAACAAGGGCTTTGCTATCTTCTTATCTTCTGCATTGGGTATATAAGTGGAGATCCCATGCAACGCTTAACACAATTTATAGAGAATTGAGACCAATCTCTCTTAAGCTCAAACAAAAACAATTACAGTTTGCTGGCCACTGCCACTGAGTTGGATAGGGAAATTGTCTGATCTTTACTATAGCATCTTTCTGGAAGTGTCTTCTCACGAAATTGACTTTCCTAGACACCATAGCTCAGGACTCAGAGTTGGACATTGGGGATCTGAGTGCAGCAATATAAGACTGAACAGTGTGAAAAGGTATTGCCAATAGAGTTCTGACCAACCATAGGGAGGTCAAAGGATGATGATGATATAAGTCCAACTTTGTAGATAGAAAGAAAAAAAAAAAAGCAAAAAAAAGCTGTTCACATGTGTTAGTCTGGGCTAATCCTTGTCAGTGCAGTTACAAAAATGTATTCACAAACAATCGCAAATTCAAAAAAAGCTATTCCATAGAATAATCCAACATGGCTGCTTCTTTATGCCTGGCTAGTGGCTTTAAATGGAATATCATTTAATTAGGATTTGCTTCTATGTAGTTTACAGACACACACAAAATATGATTTATTGCTTGCTTATTAAATGTCAAAACAGCAGTTAGTTGGTTGATTGATGTAATGGGTTATTTGATGCCGAAATCTAAATATTTTGTACATAATTTTATGCTTTCAAGGTAAAGTTATGTTTTTTTTTTTTTTTTTTTTTTTAGATATATAGCTTGTAGATCATAAAATGCATTGTTGATTTTTATTTGGAGGTTTACTATTTGGGCATAGCTTGGACCCTAACAGATGATACCACTCTGGGTCAGAGTGGACATAGGAACAACAGCAATTAAGTGGTTCCACACTCCTCAAAACCTCCAATCTCCCAATCAGAGGCCTTACTGCCAAATGTATTTTATAGTCATACCCAGGATGCCGAAACAGTAAGCAAATGAAACTGTAAAACTCACTTGATAATTGTTCCTTTTTTCATTTGCAATTTGATCCAATGTTGCCCCTGACTTCCTTCACTCTCCCAATATGTTCCAGTATCATCATCTGTCAAGTTCACAGGGCCAGCATCATCCTAAAAGAAAACAGTTACAAAGACTTTACACCACATAAAAGAAACTTTTTATGTTATCTTCTCTTTCCATGCCAAATGATAGAGTAATACTAATTTCATTAAAAATTTGCACAGCATTTGTAAACCACCTGTTGGCTTTTTGGAATTATAAAAACTACTAAGATAAGGTCATAGAATTCAGCCAATATTCATATTGAAATACATTTTATCTATTTGCCTGCAAAGGAAAAAATTTTCAAATCAAAAAGACATGCCCCATGATGGTTTGATTTTAATAAAATACTCTAATCCTGATTCCAGTGAATATAATAAGCTCATTCCTGCCTTTGGACAGATGATCAAAATGTAGCCTGGTAACTAAGTGAATTTGCAAAAATATTCCAATGCATACAAATGGGAATAGAAAAGGCTAAATAGTGAAGAGCAATTCAAAAGTTGTTTAAATTAATAATAATAATAATAGTATTGTCAAATCATCTAAAAGAAAAAAACTAATATTTATGAATATAAACTTGCATTTTACAGTTATTTATTGAATCCTAAATAGATGAGGTGAAAAACTCACAGAAATACAGTAGGAAGAGACATCCACAAAGTCAACAAAATTAGCCAAACTGCCCAAATATTGGCTGTTCTGGTTCATGCTGTTGGCCATTAATTGGACCAATGCTTCATCATTCTCCAGTGTCCAGTTTTGTAACACAGTATGCAGCTTTTCCATGATTTCTTCATCTTGGTGTGCGACCTCCAGCTTCTTCAAGCACACAGCATAATGGTGCTCAACTACTTCTTCCCAACTGAAACACAAAACAAAACTGCCATAATAATCTGGTTGTCAACAGCAAAAACATCATCATGAGATAATTATTTTTGAAATAATTTTGAAAAAATTACATTTCTTCAAATTGAAAAATTAATACAAAATCCAATGACATTAAAGAAATTAAAAAAAATATTGAAAATGGAAGCAAATATTTTTCTTGTGTAAAATAGGAAATCTTCCAGATGACAACAAATAAAATTTAGTTGTAAGCACTTGGTGTTTAAGTCAATTGAACAGAGAACAAGTGGGCAAAAATTAAAACCATTTTTCATATTAATTTTTCCTTATTGAATTAAACTTTCATTAGTCTTAAAGTGTGTCAATTCAACACATTGCTGCTATTGAGTTTATTTATTATAAGTTTCAAGAAATGCTATGTTGAATCAACCTTTGATTACATTTTTTTTTGTTTTTTCTTTTACAAATGAATCATGGGTACAAATCATAAAATAAATGCTTAGAAAGTTAAAAATATTAAATGATTTTCTACTTGAAGGGCAGCAAATCATTTATATAGAACAAATTATATTCAAATTCTTTTTAGAATTTGAATATAGACTTCTAGCAAATAATTATATCTCTTCTTAGAAATCTTGAAGTAAAAAAAAAAAAAGAAAAAAATGGAACCAGACAGAAAAGGAATCATACTTTGACAATTTGAAAGGTTTAGAAAATTTGGCCAAGCTGTAATTTTTGGTTTGAACTGGTTCCATTGTGGGCATATCTTCTGTTGTGCTATGTTTGCCATAAAGTAGCACCCAACTTTCACACGTGACATCTAAAAATTTCTTGCAGTTTCGAGGTTTTGCCTGAAATGAAAAAAAAAAAAAATTTTAACAATGTAGTCATTCCTGGTAAATAATTTATTTTGATGTGTCCTGAATAATAAAACTCTGGCTTACCAATTGTAATAGACTCACAAGTTCTGAATAAAACAAGCCAAGCAAAGGAAGCCATAGGCTTACTGTTCAATTTTCAGCAAAACATTAAAAAGTAATGTTTTTCTTTAGGGTATTGAATTCAGTCATAACATACAATTTATAAACAATCTGAATTTTTTATAACAATTTCTTTCTCACAAAAAATATTTAATTGACTAAACAAGATTGCACAAGGTGTTTTTGTAAAATTTCATTTTATACAATCAGCAAATTCATTAATCTAAATTTTGATTTAGTTATACTAACAAGACCAAAATGTATAGAAAGTCCAATAATTATTATTGAACATATCTTATAAGCTGTTGATTATAATCAACAGCTTATAACATACACGATTTGAGTTTTGCTAAAAATCCAGTTTATTCAATTTAATAAATGAGTATTTACACTATATTCATTAAGTCATTTTTCTGTAGCTCATACTATATGAAAATTCTGAGAATGATATAAAACACAGTAGGCAATGGAAGGAATAATGAGAGAAACACTGTGACTATAATAACCAAGAAGGGAAAATAATTCAGTTCAGAAATTCAAACAAATTTTTTTTTAAGTGTCTTGAAAAGATCATTAGGTATAGAATAACATTGACAAAATCTAAACAAATAGGTATAAATATT